CGGCAGACTTAGCTCCCAGAGATAAATTGTCGGTAATGGCTAGTGCTACTTATGAACAGGGCTGCGCCCTTCTGAGGGCTGAGTTAGAGAAGGTCAAAGAAAAAACTTGAAATTAAAGGAAGTGATACTGAGGATGAAGGAAGAAGACACGATACAAGGAAAGCCAGTGTCTAACGAAAACTCAGGCGAATGGAAGGTTGTAAGGAGAAGAACGACCAAAATGGTAGTGAGAAAATACACCAAGGAAACGACAACAGCCAAGTGTAAAAACTCTTTTAGTCCTTTGATAGACGAATTGGACGTTACCATAGTGAGGGACAGGGCTGAGAGGGAAGGTACGAAAACCTTAATTGGTGGTAATTCCCAGGTACGGTACCTGGATAGAGCTTTTTGTGGTAGAAATAAAAATAGGATGAGGGTGTGTTTACCAGGAGCTGGGGTGGGGGATATAGTTGACAGGATGGACAATATCTTGTCTGGTAATGGGAACAAACCCATAATCTGCCTAAGTGCAGGAGGCAATAATATTGGCCGGTGTAGGAGTGAGGAGCGTCTTGATAAGTTCAAGACAACTATAAAACGTATTATGTTAAAAACAACATTAATGTTTAATAATTTAAGGGGCTGAACTACGGGATAAATTCATTGCAATAAGGTAAAGTCAAAATATTCTTAAATGTAGGAACTTGCCTAGCTTGAGTAGAATAAAAGGATTGTTTAGCCCTTTTAAAACAACGATCAACAAACAATGAAGGGTACCCAAGTTTTTGTGCAATGGACTGAATGTGTTGCAGTTCTTCAGGGTCACAAATACGCAAACATCCAAAAAAATATAGCGGAAAAAACCGACATTTTAGTAGACTCATGGTGACTCGATAAAAAATGTGTGAAGGCTTTCTGTACACCTTAAATTTATAGTTCCATTTCTCATGATAAAGCATATCGAGAACTGGAAGGGATCCATGACGCCAAGTTACTTCGGGAAATCAAGAACCAAGCGGACTGTGAAGAGCTGCAGAAGGACCTCTGTGGGCTCCAAGAATGGTCGAAGAAATGGCTGCTGAGATTCAATGTCACGTAGCGTAAGAGGATGCACCTGGGGCATACCAACGGTAAGGAGGCGTATCATTTGTCCCAATGGGATGAAGAAACTGCTCTATTTGAGACAATGTGAGAAGGATCTAGGTGTGTATGTTGACAATGAGCTGAAGTTCTCGGGCCATTGCGAGAAGAAGGTAAATCAGGCAAATAAATTATCGGATCTTATAAGAAGGTCGTTCAGATATCTAGATGGTCCGTCCCTCGTAACGATCTTCAAGAGTGAAGTGCTTCCCCATCTGGAGTACTGTCACCCCGTCTGGTCCCCGAGATATGCTAGGGACTGTCAGTTGATTGAAAATGTTCAAAGGAGGGCCACCAGACTGGTGCCTGCACTTCGGCACCTCAGCTACCCTGAGAGATTGAAGCTCCTGAACTTGCCTAGCTTATACTACAGACGGGCAAGGGGTGACGTAATTGAGGTGTATAAGCATCTCATGGGGCACTACTCAGTCGAGTGTCCTTACTTGGAGCTGGTGGATGCTCGCCCCACAAGGGGTCACAGCTCAAGATTGAAGAAGCCACAAGTCCAGAAAACTGTGAGGGCAAACTTCTGGAGTGAGAGTTGTGAACTCTTGGAACAATCTACCAGAAAGTGTTGTGATGGCACAGAGTGTGAGCTCGTTCAAGACAAGACTTGACCAACACTGGAGCAGGTTCAGGTACATTCAGGAGCCGGTGCATGCCCAGTACTTGCCAACAGTGCGTAACAAGAGACGTGACCGATCGCCCAAGCGGCTAACGAGCCGATCTTTTGGTGAAGAGGATAAAAGAAAAGGAAAAGTAATCAGAGACGTGACCAATCGCCCAAGCGGCTAACGAGCCGATCAGTGGTGAAGAGGATAAAAGTAAAAGTAAAAAAAAGATCTCTTTCAATTTTGAAGGTAATACTGGAGACAAGATAATTAAGCTTGTCTAAAAATTCCATTGAGTCACTGTTTCTAGGCCATAGACAAAGCACATCATCTGCATATCTATACCATGGAGGAATAAAGTCACCAATGTTGGGTAATAATCTAGCCTCAAAAAACTTCATATAAATACATGCTAATGGAGCAGAACGACAATTACCCATGTTGTTTTTAAGTATGACTCAACTATTACTAATACTGTATATTAATTAAGAATAGCCCAACCTTGAATGTAAATGGAAGTGTTTACTGTATTCCATGTAGCAACTGTAATGGAAATTATGTAGGTCAGACTGGGAAGCATTGCAACTCAGAATTAAACAGCTGTAAAGGCTTGGACTTTGGGATGTAAATCCCTTGCCAGCCTAATCAGGATCTTATAAAAGGAAAGTCAAGAACCATGGGTTTCCAAGGGGTAACAAGCAACCGTTAGAGATTGACATCTCTTTACTACGAAAATAATCACAATACCCTGTAATTGACACCGCTCACACAAATATCAAATAAACAATTACGGGAGTCAAACAATTAATGGAGTCAAACAATTAAAGGAGTCAAACAATTACGGGAGTCAACAATTACGGGAGTCAAACAATTACGGGAGTCAAACACTTAATAGATATTTCCTACAGCAGCAACCCAGTGGAATGTTCTGTTGACGCGGTGGTCCACTCTCGGGGGAAGGTCCAGGGCAGCTTCCTCACTTGGCGCCGGGTGGGCGATGTCTTGCCACACAGGAGAGACGCCAGGTCACGGACGGTGGTTAGGTCGTGGAGGAAGTGATGACGTGGCAGCCGCGGTAGTAGCTGGAGTAGGTGTCCGGAGATTGACAGCCGAATAGTGAAGGACTGGGGAATCAGACCCTGCTGCTGTCGTGGACCCAGCTGCTGTCACGAGCCCTCATCCGCTTCTGCTGACGCAGCCCCTGCTCCTGACCCAGGCCCACATACCCCAGCAGGCGCACCTGAGGACTCTGTACCTGCCGAGAGGGAAGCACAATATTCATCGCCCCCACACACCCTTTTTCTCTCTCTCTTCTCCCACAGATCTCGTGTATCTAGACAGAGTTGCCCCCAGCGGCCGGCTCATCCACGCCATCGCCGTTATGTCTCACATGTGGCATCCACCGCCCGTTCTGCCTCACATGTGCCATGCAACTCTGCAGACAACAAGCCTCCTACACCGCCTGGAGGGAAGGGGGGAGTACTGTAGTGGATACCTCCCCTACAAACGCTGTTTGTCGCTGAGTAGCCGACCCCGCGAATTCCCCAGTGTATGCCTCGTGGTCTAGGTCAACCAGCGCCGCCTTACATGACGAAGGTCAACTATTAAGCCACGCCTACCTCCGCTATATAAGACCTGACCTCGTGGTGACCACTCTCTTTCTACCTACACTAACCAGCAAGCAACACCTCCTCCTCCGCTTCTGCCTGGCGGCCCTCGCTCCCGCCGGCGAGCATGGCGACCCACAAGCTTGTCCTCCTCTGAGCATCCTCACCAACCAGCTCTCTCTACATCACGCTTGTAACCACGCTGCCTCCTCCCAGCACCAAGCTGCATTGTACATCCAATAAAATATGTATACAGAGAGCACATTGTGAGTTTCCTTTCTCCATCCCATCCTGAGTGTGAACCCAAACATCACATAACCCCACAAATGGTGACCCCCAGAGATTCGCACTCATACAGGATGGAGGAGAATCCGATCTCTCTCCCAGTCTTCAAGCAACATGGAAGACTGGCTTATCCACCCAGAGGCAGCTCTCCTCGGCTCTACAGCTACTGTCTCTACACCGCAGGTTAGACACCCTAGAGCAGCTCTGCTACTCTAAGCAGACACCAGCTCCTTTTCCTGCCCCAAGCACCACGTCCTACCGACCCAAACACACCCGTCCTGCCTCAGACGCCGCCCCCGGCCCAGCAGTACCCCCTGCTGCTCCTACTGACACGGCCCCTGCTCCTGACGCGGACCCACACACCCCTCTTTTCTCCCTCAGGTACCCCCTGCTACTGTCCTGTACCCTGCTGCTGTCGTGGACCCTGCTACTGTCATGCACCCTGCTGCTGTCATGGACACTCTTCCTAACGCAGCCCACACACCCCAGCAGGCGCATCTGAGGACTCTGTACCTGTCGCGAGGGAAGCACAACATTCATCGCCCCCACAACCCTCCTTCTCCCTCTTTTCTCCCACAGATCTCGTGTAGCTAGACAGAGTTGCCCCCCTAGCGGCCGGCTCATCCACGCCCTCGCCGTTATGTCTCACATGTGGCATGCACCGCCCGTTCTGCCTCACAATGTGGCACGCAACCCTGCCAATCTCCAGCTTCCCGCCACGCCCGGAGGGGAAGGGGAGTATTGTAGTGGATTCCTCCCCTACAAGCACCGAACCTTCTTGAATTCTCCAGCCTACGCCTCCAGCGCCGCCCACGGAGCGGGGGTCAACTATCTACCCCCGCCTTATAAGGCTTGACACCGCTGTGACCAGCCTCTTTCTATCCAGTGCCACCAGCAAGCAACACCTCCTCCTCCGCGCCAGCCTGGCGGCTCCTGCTCCCGCCGGCGACCTCGGAGTCCCTGAAGCTGGTGCCCTCATTCTGGGCACCCTCACCACCCAGCTCTCTCTACTCAACGCTTATTACCATGTTACCTACCCAGCAACAAGCTGCATTGTACATCCAATACAATATGTATACAGTGAGCACATTGTGAGTTTCCTTTCTCCATCCCATCCTGAGTGTGAACCAATATCTCATAAAACCACAGGAGCTTGTCTGTGGCAGCGCTCGGTTGCCAGTCACCATCTGACGCTGGTATAGTAAAGTCTGCAAAAAACCTGGTCTATTATTCAAACCTCTCACAGGGGTGATCTTTCTTGGTTATGCAAAATAACACGCACGGGTGTCCTTTTGCTGCCATTTTGACAGTAAATGAATTTCGCGGTCGCATGACATAATCAAACTATAGTCCTTGCAGACGACACTGGCGTCATCTATTGCTCTGGCTCAGCTCTCTGTAGGACCCAACGAGCACAACAGTTTGGTCCGCTTGCCTATCTTGAATATATAGTCTTTGGTTATAGCTCGTCAACACACGATAACGGTCCATAAGCCGGGTACAGCACAGCACAGCACAGCACACTAAATTCACGAATTGTGCCACGTCCGACTACGTAATCTTCCTTTGTATCAACAATTACCCTTTGAGCCTGCTAGAAGGAGACAATGGCAGGTTTACGTTCTTTCAGTAACTATGCCGGGGCTTACAGGTTAGTGATATATGTGTGAGAATGATGGATGTAGGGAAAACCTAATAACTTTCTGGTTGCATATATAAATATAGTAGTAGGTATTAGGCAGCTACCAAACAGGGAGGTACTACCGCCTGGGAAGATAGTGGAAGCATAATGTGTTGTCTAATGGTAGACCCTGCTGCCATATGGCATCACGAAAATTGTGACCAAGTCCCAGGTTGCTGATCTGACTTCCTGCCTCATTTACACACACCTGCAGGGTCTCAATTGTTTCTCTTACTATTGACAACACAACATACATATATTGTTTCTCACTTGATTTTTTTCATTTTGTATTTTTTATTATTATTATTATTATTATTATTATTATTATTATTATAATTATTATAATATTTTCGCCCCCTAGGCCCTGATGTGGGTCAGTGACCTGTGCCTGGGTGGGCTAATTCCCATAAAAAAAAAGTAAATTCGCACTCACACCACACTGTTAGAAAGTAAAAAATATATTTTTCTAGTGTATTTGTGTGTTTAGACCAATTGTGACCTTCATTTCTGACGGAAATTAGCCCGGTTTTTTATCGAATTTTTTTTTTTTTGGACGTTTTCCGAAAAAAAATATCATGGCAAAATACACCAAAAAACACCAGAGAAACAAAGACCAAACCTAACCTAACCTAACTGACTCTCACCATATGATGGAATCACCTATTTCTTACCTTATTGTCCTGGTTCTTGTTCGTCGTTGGATTCTGAGATTCTTACACAACGCCACATATGTTGGTCTTTGCGATACAGTATTTACATTCAGTACACTCTTAGTACACTTTACTGAGGTTGGAAGAACACCATGCGATCGAAAAAATGCTATAATTTCTTCGTTTTTTTCCCCAAAACTCGCAATCAGCTCCATACAATTGAAGTGACACCCATCGCAGACTTCCATGGTCGGAACTGAATTTGAATTTCGAAAGAGAGACCCAAAGTAAAACGCGAATTTGATTGGGCCAACAATACTGCGAATTAAAACCAAAATAATTTTAATTGGTTACAAAAACGCTTTTGATTGGCCGCGTGATGTGCATGGGAACGCATGTGCGTGATGATTTGCGAAGAAGACCCGCGGTGTGGGAGGTGAGGTAGGCGATAATGGCGCAAGATTATGGAAGAAAATAGAGAAAAAATTTTATACGCTTTCCCCGTTATTATACATTTCCGCCGGTAATGTAATAGATGAAAATTATCTTATAATTAGACGTCTTATTCGAATATGATAATAGATTAATGGTAGGAATGTGTGGTGTGTAAATGCAAAGATACTATTTACTGTGTACGGTATATTTATATATACGTATATATATATATATATATATATATATATACACACACACATATACAGTGACCCTGGGTTAACGAACTCAATCCTTCCAGAAGGTTTTCGTTAACCAAAACCATTGTTTCAATGGGTTTTTGGGTAATTGGTTCCAGCTCACCGAAAATTTCCTAAATTCAACAAAAATGGTAGAAAAGTTCACTTACTTTGAGGTGTGTATGTAGAAGGCTCCTGGATGATGATGATGGGATTTAGAATGGGGGTGGAGGAGAAGGAAGAAGAGAAGGCATTGGGGTGGAAGAGAAGTCACCCCATGGCGCCATTTCACCCATAAAATTTTAGCTCTGGTGTAATTCAAGATTATTTTCTTTAAATCAACACTGCACTGCATTATATATTGTCAATATGTAAAATATATTTCAAAATGACCAATAATTTGCTTGGAAACAGAAAAAAAAGCATTTAGTTGAAGAGAGTCTCAAGCAAGATGTTACCTCCAGTGAAAACAGAGAGACTAACGCCTGTTTGCTGTGTTAAGAGGCTGGATGCCGCGCATTAAACTAGTCACTTTACCTTCAATTATGTTCAATAATTGTTAAAATGACTAAAAAATTGAATATTAAACTTTTAAAATTATTGAATAGTATAAACTTCTTGATATTTACTAAAATTGTAAGGAATTTAAGCCCTAGAACCGATTAATGTATTGGCGGACTGATACTAAAGCTGGTTGCCCGGTCAGTGCAAGCGAAAACATGTTGAGGTCGGTTCGTAAGAACTTCGTTAACCGAATTTTTTTTCGTTAACCGAATTGAAGATCCTTATGGAAGGCAGTTCGTTAATCGAAATTACGTTAACCAAGGTGTTCGTTAAGTGAGGGGTCACTGTATTAAAAGAAATGACAACTTTCTAGGGTCAATTTATACTGCCATTTTTTTTAAACATTCGAGTGTGAGCTCTTTCAAGACAAGACTTGACCAACACTGGAGCGGGTTCAGGTACATTCAGGAGCCGGTGCATGCCCAGTACTTGCCAACAGTGTGTAACAGAGACGTGACCGATCGCCCAAGCGGATAACGAGCCGATCAGTGGTGAAGAGGATAAAAGTATAAAGTAAAGGTATTAATATCCCAAAAGCGCCCTCCGAGCTGTAATCCATTTTTTTAAATATAATTTTGTCGGGTTACCATTTGGTAGTCTGACAATATTATTGGAAAGTTCGGGATAAGTCCTCGGGTGTGGTGTAGGCACCCGAAAGACTTATCCCGAATGTTCAAACTAGTTATATATGAATAGAAAACATCTCTGAAATACAATAAATGTAAGTTAAGATGAGATAATAAAGCAAAAAAAATATTTAAATGTCTTAATAACCGGGTCCAATGGAAATGTATATATTTTTAAGAGACCGCCGTGTACCCCTGTGATGTTTTACCTTCAACTCCGAAAGATTTTTCATCTCCCCATTGCCCTTCTCCAATTTTATCAAGCATTGCATTCCTACAATCATCCTCTTATAGCTTCAAGTATGTTAAAAAATGCACCTTATTTTGTGATATATGTAATGTCATTTCCAATTCGCCAATATGTTACATATATAGGGAAGATATAAGATGAGCCAAATATACTAGGTAGGTTGCTCATGTAATAGTTTACAAGTGTCATCTGTGACCCACGCTGATAATTACCAATGAAAACAAATTTCCTGCTATATTTCATTGTTTGGGTTATTGTTCCGGTTGTGTTTAGGTACTACCAATATTTGTAAGTTTCGATTAGGTTACGTAAAATATTTTTTTTAGATGAAATGTTCGAACTCGGGGTTTGAAAAAAGTGCTAAAATTGATTAATGATGTTTTCAATCAATCTATTTAAATAGTGTCGGTCCTATCTTACATCACTGGAACAACAATAAACAAAAGTTAAATATACTTTGGACAAATTTCTTAAAGAAATGCAACATGCTTGTAAACTATTATCAAAAGTTATAATAGATATTAGATTTTGTTTTATTTTTTCGGGTTGGCATTATAGCATTCTGGTATTGTTATTAGGGACCATCAAAATCCTTTTGCTTATATCTCTGAGGAAGAGTTCATCAAGAGGTATAGGCTGTCCAAGGAATGCATCCATGAACTTCTTGAACAAATTGAACCACATATGTCAAGAATTCAAGAAGAATAAGGCAAGAAATTCTGGTGTTACTATAGTGTGCAGTCTACAACATAATTGGATTAAATTAGCTTAGGTCAGGTTAGGTTAGGTAAAGTCAGGTTAGGTTAGGTAAAGTTAGGTTAGGTTAGACTAAATTTATCTTTGTAGACCGAAACTCTAACTCTTGGATTTGGTCTTTGTTTAGAAGTGTATTGGGTATTTATTCAATGTTATGCAGTGATGCATAAAAGGGGGGAGGGACATCATCACTGTACATATGCAGTGCTCGGCATCCATGAAAACCCCTAAACCAATCTCCCATATGCAATAATACCACCAGCCCATAATTGCAGTGCAGTAATAACTTCATTACTCAGAGTTAGCCAATACGTACTCAGAATTGAAATTGGCTTGGAGTTTTTCCGGGAAAATTTTCAACATTCCGGGTTTGTGAGTGAGTTTTCAAGGTTGAAAAACCGTTGTTGTTTTTTTTGTTCAAGCTCTGAATGCGACGTCAGCAAATGGCGCTTCAGCTATAATGCACACAAAGGGAAGCTCTGCGAATTTGTGTTCTAATTGTTGAAATACTCACCTCCGCAAGGATATTATATACGGTATTTGTACTTAATAGCACAGTGATGAAGTAGAGTAACTTTTATTTTGTTATGTCTCTCATTTATTGTATTTGGGACATTTTCTTATACGACCTTTGGTCAGCATGGCGACCAAAACACATTTTCTTTGTGAGTCGTTTAGATCGTTGTGACTGTCCTTTGCCTTTAAGTCACTCAGTGAATGTCGCTGCGCCCTCCTGGGCTCGTCTTCACTAAAAGAGAGTATGTGAATATATCTATTTATATATACTGTACATATATATGTATAGCTTTTTTTTTATAATTTAAAAAAATCTCTAAAACAATTCGGTTCCAGGCCTTGGAGCAAATTCCAAGCTTAAATATCAGGCACATTTTCTGGAAATTTTTATGAAAACTTCCTGAAACTCCAAGTTTTTTCCCGGGTCTCCGAAAATGAACGAATGTTTAAACTCGGAACTTTTACATGGAACAGGAAAAATTCTAGGGTTGTGGGATTTTTCATGGTTTGAGAATCTTCTTGTTATCTGAAAGTCTCTCATCCCTGCAAGAGATCTGCACCAATTATTCCGGCTAACGGGGATACCACATGTATGTTGCACCTTATAGAGTGAGATTCTTTGAAGAACTTAAAATGTAACACAGTAGTATATATCATCATAGGAGCCCTGTTGTTTACCGTAACCAGAATAAGCAATGTTAGAGAAAACAGTAAATAATAAAAAATTCTACCTACAGGATGCAGTATTCTGCACACCTGTCCTCATAACTGTATGGTGATTTTTAGCAGTGGCAGCTTCCAAATTAGTATGACAGTCTACTTAAAGATTTCTGTCTCATCAGTTTGCAAATTTGTCGGATGCTTTGCAACTATTTTAACCCTTACGGCAAAAGATTACATCCACATTCTAGAATCAGACAACATACAAAATCTTGTA